ATCAACTGGGAAAAAATAAATGTAGACCTTGCAACCATTCAATGGGAGACGGTCTTAAGCGACAAAACTCCCACACAGGGAATAGCTCAACTGACAGCTGAAGCTTACAGGGTCTGCTTGAAGCATGTGCCTGTGAGGAGGGGCAGAAAGAGGACCACTCTAGAAAGAGAACGCAGACGATTGTACAGGAGAAGGAAAAAAAATAACGGGAAATGCTTCGGCAGACACAACTATCACAAGCAAGGAAAATAAGCCTAAGCAGGGAGATCGAAGAAATAGAACAAACGTTGAAGCGATCATATGAGTCTGAGGAAATGGAATTGGAACAGAAAGCTATACAAGAGATAAAGAAAAATCCGAAATATTTTTTCACATACGCAAAATCAAAATCAAAAACCTCGACCAGTATTGGACTGTTAATTACAAATGAAGGTACGTACACAGAGGACAACAAAGATATTAGTGAAATTCTAAGAAGCCAGTATGAGGCTATGTTTAGTACACCAATAAACAACATGAAAGTTGATGACCCAGACAGCTTCTTTATGAATGACATTCAAGCTGCAGATAATATAATGGATATTACCACAATCTCAGAAGACTTTGAAAGAGAAATTGACAATATGCCTAAGCACTTAGCCCCTGGGCCTGACTCGTGGAATTCAATATTCATAAAGAAATGTAAAGTACCAGTAGCGAGAGCACTCAGCGTAATATGGAGAAAGAGCCTAGATACAGGGGAGATACCAACAGCACTTAAATCTGCAGATATAGCTCCGTTGCACAAGGGGAAGAGTAAAGCCTTGGCAAAAACTATAGGCCAGTTGCACTAACATCACACATAATAAAAGTGTTTGAAAGAGTGATTAGGAATCAAATTTCTAGTTTTATGGAAAACAATGAATTGCACAACCCAGGACAACATGGATTTAGAGCGGGAAGATCATGTCTGTCACAGTTACTCAACCACTATGACAAAATCACAGAAGCCCTAGAAGAAAAGCAAAATGCAGATGTTGTATACACAGACTTTGCAAAGGCGTTCGACAAATGTGACCATGGGGTGATAGCTCACAAAATGAGGTCAATGGGAATAACTGGAAAAGTAGGGCGCTGGATACTCAATTTCCAGTCGAACAGAACACAAAGAGTAACAGTCAATCAGATAAAATCGAGTCCAAGCGATGTTAAAAAGCTCTGTACCTCAAGGTACAGTCCTTGCACCTCTACTGTTCCTTATTCTCATATCTGATATTGACAAAAATACACGTCACAGCTTCGTGTCGTCCTTTGCAGACGACACAAAAATCAGCATGAAAATTACCTCTGCTAAAGACATTGAAAAACTACAAGCAGATGTCAACAAAGTTTTCGATTGGGCAACAGAAAATAACATGATGTTTAACAGTGATAAATTTCAGGTACTCAGGTATGGCAAAAATGAGGATCTGAAACATAATACAGGGTACAAAACACAATCGAATCTTCCCATAGTAGAAAAATATCATGTCAAGGATTTGGGAATAATGATGTCCGACAATCTAACGTTTAGGGAGCATAACCAAGCAAATATCGCGTCAGCCAGAAAAATGATCGGATGGATTACGAGAACTTTCAGATCCAGGGATCCCATCACAATGGTTGTACTCAAGTCACTTGTGTTGTCCTGTCTCGAGTACTGCTCAGTACGCACTTCCCCCTTTAGAGCAGGAGAGATTGCTGAAATAGAGGGAATACAGAGAACATATACGGCACGCATAGACGAGATAAAACACCTAAATTATTGGGATCGTCTCAAAGCTCTCCAAATGTATTCTCTAGAAAGGAGATGAGAGAGATACCAAATAATATACACATGGAAAATACTGGAGGGTCAGGTCCCAAATCTACACAGTAAAATAACAACGTACTGGAGTGAACGATATGGAAGAAAATGCAAGATTGAACCAGTGAAGAGCAGAGGTGCCATAGGCACAATCAGAGAGCACTGTATAAACATCAGGGGTCCGCGGTTGTTCAACGTCCTCCCAGCGACTATAAGAAATATTGCCGGAACAACCGTGGACATCTTCAAGAGAAAACTGGACGGTTTTCTAAGAGAAGTTCTGGATCAGCCGAGCTGTGGTGGGTACGTGGCCCGGCAGGCCGCTTCAAGCAACAGCCTGGTGGACCAAACTCTCACAAGTCAAGCCTGGCCTCAGGCCGGGCTTGGGGCATAGAAGAACTCCCAGAACCTCATCAACCAGGCCCCGATTCATTCGGGGTTCAGGGACTGGCTCGGTTATGTTGAGGTCTTCATGGGTACTGCTTTTGTTGCCTTGCATTTGGCTTGAATCTGGCACCTCGCATGTTTACTCGCCTCACCCGGGTCATGGTGGCCAGGTTGCTTCTGTTAGGGGTTCGGGTCCTTGGCTACCTCGATGACTGGTTGGTGTGGGCTCCCAGTCGGTCTGCATATCTCCTAGCCAGGGATTTGGTTCTTTCCCAGCTAGTTGGATTCGGGTTCCTGGTGAACTGGCGGAAGTCCCATATGGTTCCCTCTCAAGTTCGGTCTTGGCTGGGTCTTGTGTGGGATTTTCGAACCACTTCCTTGTCTCTCCCTCTGTAGTCCCTCCTTCGGCTGCGATCCCGCCTTCGTCTGTTTCTGGGGCTCCCGGGTTACCCGCCGGTTGCTAGAGGGTTTGTGCGGGAGTTTGAACTTTGCCGTGCTGGTTTACCTGCTGAGTCGGGTGTGGTTTCGTCGGCTGTTCTGGTTCCTTCGGGGCTGTCTCTTCCGCCTCTCTCATGATCACTGGGTCCGGCCTGCAGGGGCTTTGCACCGGCTGCTGCGTCGTCGGCTTCCTCATCGGGTTTTTCGGGATTCAGTGCCCTGGCACCTCCCCAAGCCCTCTCTCGATGTGATCACGGATGCGTTGTCTCTGGGCTGGGGTTTTGTGATCATTGCTCACCAGGCCAGCCAGGGGCGGTAGGGTCCGTCCTTCCGTCAGGCGCACAGCATGGTGCGGGAGTTCGCGGCAGTGTGGGTGTCACTCCGGAGGGTTTGGGTCACTCGCGGATCAACGATCCAACTCAATTCGGACTGTTCCCCGGTGGTTCATTATTTGAACCGAGGGGGTTCTCTGCGGTCCTGCAGTCTGAGTTCTTGGGGTTTGGCTGTCCTGGTTGTTCACATTTGGGGGGTGTCCAATGACCTAGTGGATAGCCTGTCGCGGTTCATTCCCCTGTCCATGGAATGGATGGTCAACTCCAACTCGTTCAGTTGGTTCTACCAGAAATTCAGGCTCCTGGAGGTGGACCTCTTCGCATCGGCGTGGTCGAGGCATCTCCTGTTGTATGTGACACCCTTCCCCGATTGCAAAGCTGTCAGGTTGACATCTTCAGGGAGGACTGGTCGAGGAGGGGTTACCTGTACATTTCTTCCTCCGGTTCCACTGGTGCTCCTTGTCTTAGCTCACTTGGAGACTTACCAGGGGAGAGTAGTCTTCCTGGCCCCTTGGTGGCCTGCCCAGCCTTGGTTTCAGGCGCTGCTTGCCTGGTGTCCGAACTCGGAGAGTTTCCCGCGGCTCCGCCTCTATCGGCAAATCGGTCTGGTCCGTTACGAGGTTGGTTCAATCTTCTCCTCGAGTCTAAGCGTTTGGTCTTTCTGACTCACGTCTATTACCATTTGTGTAATGATCAAGTGGCTTCCTTGATGGTGTCCCACCTGCATGCTTGGTCTCGGCCACAGTATGAAGTGTCCTGGCAGTCCTTCCAGTTCTTTCTGACCCTTTGTCGTATTCCTTCTCTTTCAGTTCGAGTTGTCTTATCCTGCCTTTCGTGGTTGTTTCAGGACCATCATCTTATGCCTAACACTGTCACCTCGTATCGTGCGGCATTGGCAGAACCGCTGCAGCTGGTGTTTGGCATTGATGTTACTTCGGCGCCATTCTGTAAGCTGTTTCGGACGTTGTTTCACCTCCGGCCTGATCGTACACCGCTTAAGCTGATCTGGTCTTTGGATCGGATGACCTCCTCTCTCTCTTCCCCTCAGATTGTGGTGTCCCCTTAGTTCAGGATTGTTTGTCTAAGGCTCTCTTCCTGTTGGTTTCGGCCTCTGGAGGCCAGGTCGGGGAGCTTCATGCTCTGCCCCGGTGCAGGGGTGTCTGTTCCTGCAGTCCTGGTGGTAGGTTTGTTCGGTTGCAGCCGTCTCCTCATTTGAAGAATGAAGAATGAGACTGCTGCTTTCCGGAGAGGCCCGTGGGTGGTTGATGCTTGGTTGGTGAGACCGGGGGTGCATCATGTGTTGTGTCCAGTTGTGGCTTTACTCCATTATTTGTGTGCAACGGCCTTGGTTTCCCTTCTTCCAAGTTCCTGGGTTTGGGTCTCCCAGGTCGTCCGCAGGATTATTCAGTCCAGCCAGCCTGTGGTTTATCCCCGCACCCACGACTTTAGTAAGTTTTCTGCGTTTGCTGCCGTTTTTTTGTAACATGTCCTGGGCTGACATTCGGGCACGGGGCTTTTGGAGGTCGAACAGGGTCCTGGCTGCTCACTACCTGGTCAGTGACCCTGCACCTGGCCGATCCTGTGTTGTATTAGGTCAGCAAATGCAGCCAATTGTCTCGACATCACGTTAAGATGTGAGTAACGACCGCTGCCCGGGTAAGTCCCTTTTCTGTTTATCTTTGGGTAAGTAATGGGGAAGGGGCAGCCCCAGACCCTCCGCCGGCTACCCAATCCTGCCAGTTCTTAGGCTCGATGTCAAAATATGTGAAAAGGAACAGCCGACCGGATGGAGGGAGAGATGCTGGGGAGCCACAGGGTCTCACCTAGAAAATGGTGTTTCATTACATTTAATGATGGTTTTTATATGAATTTTGTCTGACACTTAAAGGAGTGTAACTAATTTGTTAACTTACATAAATTAGAAAGATACTGTATATGCACAATTTGGATAAAGTTACAGATATTATAGACATGGAGATAAAGATAAGTTTCTCTTCAAAACTTTATTATATTTGCAGAACAGCCAATGTGTTGTTAATAACAGTCTTGCCAAAGAGACTTTGGCCACAGTGTTCTTCAGCGTTCCTCACCATGGCTCCCCCTTGGCTACTTATGTTACACAAGGAGTGCTTCGTCTCTTGTTACAACCAACAAGAGAACTATGTGAAATGAGAACAGGTAAATTCACATTTCTGTGGGGAGCCCCTACGGCACCCTGGAGCTTATCGGGCTAATGTATGTTATATTAGACCAGGACATTAGCTATGGAGTTCAGACCTACCAGGGACCAGCGCCAGAACCTGGCCCCTTCAGAGATGTTTCAGGGAGCAATAGCCCTAGAAAACCTCCCTGTGGTTGGGGGGGTTCCATATCTGCCATTGACTGGGGTTAGGCACCCAGAAAGGTAGGCATAACAAAACAAACTCCACATGGTAAGAAACTAACAACAAAAACCGAACAGAGAGGTAGAACTCCCTACAATCCCAAGGAAACAAGCAAACAAGCAAACGTAGCACACTACTGCCGTGCCGCTCATCCACGCAGCCCTCCCCGAGAGGGGGAGGGGGGCGCGAATTTCACCGCGATGGCTGCATAGCACTCCAATTCGTAAGCTAATGTTAACCGGGACAGATGTTTCTCTGGCCTCGGTTTCCTAGGCGGTGTTTGCCTTCGTGGCGCTCACTGCTGTGTTTTTGTGTTGTGAGGTGGCCAGGTGTTCCTCTTCAGTACCGGGGCTGTATGCACTTAGGGGCTTCCTTCCCTAAGCGCCCTGTGAGTACTGCCCCTGCATGACAGGGTTATCTTCCTTGGGGTGTTCGGGAATCTTTCCCGTAGAGGTTCTTGCTGCTTGGCATTTGCCACACCCTTGGGGCCAGCTGGGACGTGGGGCCCTAGTTTGGCCTTGGGTATGGGCTGGTATTGTGCTGCTTAGGGCGTCAAGGTATTGCGCAACCTGCTACCTACGCGGCGACCGGTTCCCGGCCTACGGGGACAGTGTTCTTTTTGCGGGGTTTTCTTTTCTTTTTATTTTCATTGCCTGGTGCGGGTTTGCCTAGTATGGCTATAGTTACACTGGTAGTATTTGGTGGCCCTCTGCTAGGCCCCTGTGATTGTACATGTCTCAGGGGTTTTCAGTGTTCGCATCTACCCCTTGTTAGTTTTGGGTGTTAACCGGTTAGCAACACCTTGCCCGGACTTCCCGTAGCAGTCAGCCTACGGGCCCTGGAAAACCCTGTTGGGGCTCGGTGGACCACTGGATGTGTCTTCCGGGTTCCATCTCGTCTTGTGCGGGTTCGTTGGTCTCTGTGCCCTTGTCTCCGGGTGACAGTCGCCACTTTTACCTCCGTCATGCTGCCTGTTGAGTCACTGACACCTTGACCCAGAGTCTTGCGAGTTGCGTTCTCTGCTTGTTCTCCAGTACTTTCCTGATGTCCTTACTGTTCAGAGTACAGGCGGCATCCGCGTTGCAAGCTTGGTTTAGGTTGCTGTAATGCACTAGGTTGGTTTCTTACCTGGATGCCCTGGGACGGCCCCATTTTGGTTAGTTGCTGTTTACCCATTTCCCTCCCTGTTCCCGGCTCCTGACCATCTGCGGGTTTCGGTATCGGAGCGGGGTTCAGTTGGGGCAAAAACTCGGGTGGCTTCGGGGGCTGTCCCGCTCAGGTTGGGAACGGAGGTTTTCGAGCCTGTTTTTCCTGCCAAGGCTTCCGTGTCTCATCTGCGACCTTTTCTTTGCTGCCTTTCCCCCTGGACTTTATCTTTTCTTTATGGGCGGAGGGTGTGGAGAACGGCACTGCCCCGGGGCCTCTTGTTGCGGGTTCCCAGGGCTGTGGGGGATGCCCGCTAGCAGTTCTGGGGCTGTTTGCCCCTGCCTGGGTTTTCTGCTTCTGGGCGGGTTTTTGTCCCTCTCGTCTGCTTAATTCCTGTATTTGCTGATCTATGGTGTCAGTCACGGCGCCTTGTTCTGGTGGCCATTTTCTTTTTGCGGTTTACTTCCCCGCTTAGCCACCGGTGGCGTTGTGGTTTGTTTACCGGTGCCTGGGTATGCGAGCTAGCGTTTTAGGTGAGTTTCTTCACCTCCTTCAGGGGTTTTATCATCTTGTTGCCATTTATTTGCTTTTCTAGGGTGTTCTGCCTGTCTTCTGTTCCTTTGGGGAAGCTGGGTGTTGGTTTTTACACTGGTTTTTCTGTTTGGGTCTGGGCCCTGGTGTTTGGGCCCAGACCCAGCCTTTGGGTTCTTTGGTTTCATTCCAGAGGTTTCTTCCTCTTGGGGACCCCTATGTGGGTTCGGGGGGGCCTTGTTACCTCGTGTGTGACCCGTGTGGCCCGGTTCTGCCTTCTGGGGTTCCGGGGTCTTCCTGGCTTGAAGAAGTCTTTTTATTTCCTTTTTATTTTCTTCCAGATTATAACGCATTGCATACTTTATTCCCAAAAAGACATGGTTACTTTCACCCAAGGGAGGAAGGTACTGAATGTCAAATATTTCTTCCTCCTTCCTGGTAAATGTCAAATCTAGCATGGAGGGAATGTCCTGTTCCCTCATCCTCGTAGCTTGTTTAACATGTTCATACAAGAATGTTTCCAGGATGAGGTCTACAAATTTACAGGTCCAAAAATCTTCTATTTTAGCTTCATATTCTTCCCAGTCTATGGATATCAAGTCGAAGTCGCCGACTATCAACAGTCGTGATCTATCATTATCCGCTCTCGCTATGATCTCTCTCATTATTGTTATAAAACCTTCTCGTTTACTATCTAGCTCCTCCTTTAACCATGTGCTGCTTGGCGGTGAACTATATGCATTTATGAGCATTAGTTTATCATCCTCATGGCAGATCTCTAGTGCTATTATGTCAACTTCTTGTGGATTGGCAGTCATTATTTCGTTCACCTTTAGGTGTTCTTTCACCAGCACAGCAACGCCACCGCCTTTCCTAATTTTTCTGTCCCGTCTCCAAATTGAGTAGTCCCTTGAGAATATGACCTCATTTAAAATAACAGCTTCAAGTTTTGTCTCCGTGAGTGCAACAATGTCTGGTGTCTGCAACTGTATTACATCACTTAACTCCAGTATCTTCGATCTTACTCCATCTATGTTGGTGTATGCAATCTTCAGGAACTTGTTCTCCCTCTTCTTATTTTTCACTCCCTATGTGTGTGTGTAATTACCTAAGTGTAGTTACAGGATGAGAGCTACGCTCGTGGTGTCCCGTCTCCCCAGCACTCTTTGTCATATAATGCTTTGAAATTACTGACGCTTTTGGCCTCCACCACCTTCTCACTTAACTTGTTCCAACCGTCTACCACTCTGTTTACAAAAGTGAACTTTCGTATATTTCTCCGGCAGCTTTGTTTCGTTAGTTTAAATCTATGACCTCTTGTTCTTGAAGTTCCGAGTCTCAGGAATTTTTCCCTATCAATCTTATCTATTCCTGTTACTATTTTGAACGTAGTGATCATATCGCCTCTTTTTCTTCTATCTTCTAGTTTTTACATATTTAATGCCTCTAATCTCTCCTTGTAGCTCTTGTCCTTCAGTTCTGGGAGCCACTTAGTGGCATGTCGTTGCACCTTTTCCAGTTTGTTGATGTGCTTCTTAAGATATGGGCACCATACAACCGCTGCATGTTCCAGCTTTGGTCTAATAAAAGTCGTGAACAATTTCTTTAGTATTTCTCCATCCATGTATTTAAAAGCAATTCTAAGGTTAGAAAGTGTAGCATAGGCTCCTCGCACAATGTTCTTAATGTGGTCCTCAGGTAACATTTTTCTATCTAAAACCACCCCTAGATCCTTTTCTTTATCAGAATTCTTTAAAGATTTCTCACATAATTTATAGGTTAGGTGGGGTCTATGTTCTCCAATTCCACATTCCATAACATGGCATTTATTCACATTAAATTCCATTTGCCAAGTATTGCTCCATATACTTATTTTGTCCAGGTCTTCTTGAAGGGCATGACAATCATCTAAGTTTCTTATCTTCCCTTAGCATCATCTCAGCATCATCAGCAAACATGTTCATGTAATTGTGTATTCCCACTGGTAGATCGTTTATGTAGACAATGAACATTACCGGTGCAAGAACTGAACCCTGAGGTACTCCACTCGTGACATTCCTCCAATCCGATACCTTGCCTCTGATTATGGCCCTCATTTTTCTGTCAGGAAATTTTTCATCCATGTTAGTAGCTTACCTGTCACTCCTCCAATATGTTCCAGTTTCCGGAACAACCTCTTATGGGGAACTCTGTCGAAAGCCTTTTTTAGGTCCAGATAGATGCAGTCAACCCAACCATCTCTTTCCTGTAAAATCTCTGTGGCTCGATCATAAAAACTGAGCAAGTTCGTTACATAGGATCTTCCAGATCGAAAACCATACTGTCTGTCTGATATTATAGTGTTTTCCTCCAAGTGTTCTACCCATTTAGTTTTAATTATTTTTTCCAATATTTTGACTATTACACTTGTCAATGATACAGGTCTATAATTAAGGGGGTCTTCCCTGTTTCCACTTTTGTAGATTGGAACTATGTTAGCCTTTTTCCACACATCAGCTACAGCTCCTGTACACAGGGATGCCTGAAAAATCAGTTGAAATGGAATGCTGAGCTCAGGTGCACATTCTTTCAGAACCCATGGTGAAACTCCATCTGGACCAACTGCTTTGTTCTTACTTAGCTCCTTGAGCATTTTTTCCACTTCGTCTCTAGACACCTCTATGTGCTCTATGTTGTTCTCTGGAATTCTTATTGTATCTGGTTCCCTAAAGATTTCATTTTGTACAAACACACTTTGGAACTTTTCATTTAGTGTTTCACACATTTCCTTTTCATCTTCCGTGAATCTATTTCCCATTTTCAACCTCTGTTAACTCTGTGTGTGTGTGTGTGTGTGTGTGTGTGTGTGTGTGTGTGTGTGTGTGTGTGTGTGTGTGTGTGTGTGTGTGTGTGTGTGTGTGTAATTACCAAAGTGTAGTTACAGGATGAGAGCTACGCTCGTGGTGTCCCGTCTTCCCAGCACTCTTTGTCATATAACGCTTTGAAACTACTGACGGTCTTGGCCTCCACTACCTTCTCACTTAACTTGTTCCAACCATCTACCACTCTGTTTGCGAAAGTGAATTTTCTTATATTTCTTCGGCATCTGTGTTTAGCTAGTTTAAATCTATGACCTCTTGTTCTTAATAACCCATAGGTGACTAAATGAAGTTAAAGTATTTAACAGGTTGCGTAAGTCACACCACCTGTTAAATTTTTGCAGTCACCTTGAACTGGCCTTGAAGTCTTCAGAGCCCATGGTTAATGTCATTCTTTGAGCTACAGACTGTAATTGTATACACAGCCAGCCTGTGTAGCTCCAGGCTACAATGCTGCATAAATTAGTGGTAATCATCATCATGCAAATCCTCCTGCTTAGAAGGTTTCATTTTTTTTACCACTATTCTTTTCACTGCTTCCCATTTTATTTGTAAACTACATGCCAGAAACAGCACTAATACCAATGCCATAATGTGCAAGCCACATGCCTCTTGCCACAATCACCATGCCTTCTTATCTATAGTACCTTTTCCTGAAGTATCTATATTACTCTTGAATGAAGGTGAAAGAAAAATCCAATATACAGTGGTACCCCCACTTACGAATTTAATCCATTCCCAGAGATGGGTAGTAACATGAAAATTCGTAACTTGAAACGAATTTTCCCATAAGAAATAATGTAAATCGAATTAATCCATTCCACATCCCCAAAAATATAAATTTAAAAATACATTTTATATCGAATACCACTCTCTTTGTTCTAGCTATAATATGTATCTTACCTTTATTGAGGACTCTTATTTGCATATGAAAGACGGTGAGGAAGGGGGGAGGGGAAGGAGAGGTGTTACTGTTTGGAAGAGTCCCCTTCCATTATAACATCAGACAGTGATGACTTCTCTGGGGTACACTCTCTAATATGTTTTGCCTGCATATCACTAGGACCTGGTTGTGGCTCACTGCTTGCTTGTCTTACTAGGAATTTTTCGAAAGACACTTGTCTTTCCCTACATTTTAACACTTGTCTCTAGTGAGACATCACATTCATTCACTATGAATAATCTCTTGTTTTTCCCTCTATAGTCATCCTCACATGTGTTTTCTTAGGTTGAACCTTTCCACTGAGTTTCTTGGGACCCATGGCGTGATATATAATAATTAATTTTATGTTCAAAAAGAACCTTTCTCAAGGTACTGTGTACAATGAGAACATTGTATACAGTACCTTGAAAAACGATGTGGGTTACAGCTAAACATTTGTTTTAGTACATTTATACATAAAGTGTCCAGGTACTGTATTGGGTTCACCTTCAAAATTATTATAGTTTTGTTTTTAGAGTTTATTTTATCATTTCATTTGGCTCGAGTTAGGTCAGAGGTCTTTTAAGCATCTCCTGTTCATCTGACCAATGCAGACTACTGTATATATTCAGTGTAATAGATATTACAGTATTAACTTGTTTTTAATGTAATTGATATTAAGAGAGAAACATTCTTTTTATAATCCTGCAGACAATCAAGCCCTACACCTCCTCCATAAGTCATTTACAAGTCTAGTAAAAGCTCAGGATATTGCTGTTTTAACATTAAATGAATCTGCACCTGTACTGCACAAAACTACTGGTTATCCTCTGCATTTTGTTCCATCTGAGTTTGGAGGTAAGAAGACTGCATCCAGTTTATTGTTGTACAAAAATACTACTTTGTGCACAAGCAGCAGAGAATTGCAGTGTACAGTATTTTCTCTATAATAATAATAAATAATTTTGATAACAAATATTTGTAGGGTATGTTACATTGGTTACGTTACACACTGAATCATTGTTACTTCCTTTGTTTTCAGATATGTGGTTTGGGTGTCTAGCCATGTTGTGACTTACTCTCTACATTGTTTATATTCATTACATAGTTAAATATATTTATCATAAGGCCATTAATAATTCTTTTATAATTCATTGTGTTGGGGGACAGGAAGCCAGTGTGTATTCATACACATTTGGCTTTTATCAAGCCCCCTCTCCTCCCAATCTTGAGATCTATCTTGAGATGATTTCGGGGCTTTAGTGTCCCCGCGGCCCGGTCCTCGACCAGGCCTCCACCCCCAGGAAGCAGCCCGTGACAGCTGACTAACACCCAGGTACCTATTTTACTGCTAGGTAACAGGGGCATAGGGTGAAAGAAACTCTGCCCATTGTTTCTCGCCGGCGCCTGGGATCGAACCCAGGACCACAGGATCACAAGTCCAGCATGCTGTCCGCTCGGCCGACCGGCTCCTTAGGCTGAGTTTCTGACCCCGTCCAGGGTGCAACTCTACAAGCTGACTAACTCCTAAGTACCTACTCACTGCTAGGTGAACAGAAGCATTAGGTGAAAGGAAATGTGCCCAACTATTTCTGTAATGCCCAGGATTCTTGATTGTGCGTCGAGAACGAACTCGACTAGACAGCAAGCAAATATTTCGGGCATATGTTAATGTGTTGATTTATATTTAGCACTGTAATACATTTTAGGGTAATATCAATACTAAGACTTGAGTTATATACTGGTACAGTATATATAAATAAAATGATATTGAATGTATTTATAGTCAGCCCTTCAGTAGCTCAACTAAGCTTTCAGGTTGATAGGCCTTTTGAGACATAGGCCTACTGGGAACCAGGACCAGAATAACTTAGTTCCCTCAATGAGGATAGGGGAGAAAGGAATTGGATATACAGGTACTGTAGATCTAAAAACCAAAGAAAATGATGCAGTAAGTTCAATTAAACAAAGGAGGCCAGTGCTTGAAAGAAATTGCATCATTTTCTCATCTACATGATAGTTGACAATAAGTTAACAAACCTAGCTGGCAGCTCATCCTGCTTGGTATCCCAATCCACCACCCACCAGTACTAAAGCCCAAAACATGAAAAGAAAGGAAGAAATTACAGGGCGAGAACAGGTAATTGTAGAGTGACCGACCAGAAAGGGCCATTTCATTTCATATATCCCTTAATTTATGGGATTGCCACCTCAGTAGCTCTCTGCAGCTTCTCAACAGAAAGATGGCTGTGCAGATAGAACAAAGATTGGAAAGGAGTTTGTCCATATGGATGGGGGAGGAAGAGTAAAAAACCAGAGCATAAGGAAGAAGGCCCCATGGTCCCAGAGAATCATAGAATAAAAAAAAAAAAAAAACCTGTGAAAAAAACGGTCCAGGGGGAGAATAAGGAACGGCAACAGACTACTCCACAATGATCCACCCATCAGTTACGAATTTTCTAGTTCCTGTCAGGCTGCGAGCAGCCGCGTCTAACAACCTGGTTGATCAGTCCAGCAACCAGGAGGTCTGGTCGATGACCGGGCCGCGGGGACGCTGAGCCCCGGAAGCACCTCAAGGTAACCTCAGGTAGCCACTATAAGGTGGCAGCACCACTGGCTTTCTATATGACTAGAGCTCTCTTTCTGAACCTTGCAGTTGTATGTTTTGCAACTCTGGTTTTATAATCTACAATGTGAAAAATAATTAAGTTTAAGTTTTAAATAAACAAAAAGGGGCTTTTGAATTTGGATATTCATGCCAAAATAGTGCTGGTAGAGATCTGCAATATTAAATTTTGATATAAAAATCTTTGTATAAATATATGATATGATTAAAATATAAAATTGATGATAGCTCTTCTATATTTAAAATAATTTGTATGCAGGTCTGGGGTAAATATATAAAAAAAAAAATTAAGTGTCCAATTTCTTTCATATAAAGCTTAGATTTGCTAATGAGCTTGGCTTTCTTAATTAGGAAGAAAGGGAAAGGGTAAAACTAGAATTTTAGTAAAATGACATTCTTAAAGAACAAAAATATATATATTACATAATCTAAAATGGGTACCACCTCATATACAAGTGTAGGGTCCCATAGCCTCAGAGAAGAAAATAAAGAGTACTCAGAGAAGACCTTGTGGATCCTCACTGAACACTTTGATATTGTCTTCTACCCGGCAGTCTTCTTCTACCACCCTATTCTTTTAGTAATTACCTAAGTGTAGTTACAGGATGAGAGCTACGCTTGTGGTGTCCTGTCTTCCCAGCACTCTTTGTCATATAATGCTTTGAAACTACGGACGGTCTTGGCCTCCACCGCCTTCTCACCTAACTTGTTCCAACCATCCACCACTCTGTTTACAAAAGTGAATTTTCTTAAATTTCTCCGGCAGCTTTGTTTCGTTAGTTTAAATCTATGACCTCTAGTTCTTGAAGTTCCAGGTCTCGGGAAATCTTCCCTGTCGATTTTATCAATTCCTGTTACTATTTTGTATGTAGTGATCATATCACCTCTTTTTCTTCTGTCTTCTAGTTTTGGCATAATTAATGCCTCTAACCTCTCCTCGTAGCTCTTGTCCTTCAGTTCTGGGAGCCACTTGGTGGCATGTCGTTGCACCTTTTCCAGTTTGTTGATGTGCTTCTTAAGGTATGGGCACCATACAACTGCTGCATATTCCAGCTTTGGTCTAACAAAAGTCGTGAACAATTTCTTTAGTATTTCTCCATCCATGTATTTAAAAGCAATTCTAAAGTTAGAAAGTGTAGCATAGGCTCCTCGCACAATGTTCTTAATGTGGTCCTCAGGTGACAGTTTTCTATCTAGAACCACCTCTAGATCCCTTTCTTTGTCAGAATTCTTTAAAGATTTCTGACATAATTTATAGGTTATGAGGGGTCTATGTTCACCTATTCCACATTCCATAACATGGCATTTATTCACATTAAATTCCATTTGCCAAGTGGTGCTCCATATACTTATTTTGTCCAGGTCTTCTTGAAGGGCATGACAATCATCTAGGTTTCTTATCTTCCCTATTATCTTAGCATCATCAGCAAACATGTTCATATAATTCTGTATTCCCACTGGTAGATTGTTTATGTAGACAATGAACATTACCGGTGCAAGAACTGAACCCTGTGGTACCCCACTCGTGACATTTCTCCAGTTCGATACATTGCCTCTGATTACTGCCCTCATTTTTCTATCAGAAAATTTTTCATCCATGTTAGCTTACCTGTCACCCCTCCAATATGTTCCAGTTTCCAGAACAACCTCTTATGGGGAACTCTCTCGAAAGCCTTTTTCAGGTCTAGATAGATGCCCCCCTCTCCTTCTGTTAGGCTGTTGGAGGTGTTTTACCTGACTGCTGGTGTGTGACCTTGATTGATACACTCTTTGGGAGGGTGCCACATACCCGGACAATTGGTTCTGTTGTGGGCATGCTTGCGCACATCCCCGTTACGCTGAAGGCGACACACCTTGTCACACTCTTGACATGTGCCGTACCTGTCGTTGATTGATGGCTCCTCTTGGCTGAGAGAAGCCTGGCTGTAAGTTGCGATCTGCGACATTGGCGGGCACTGGGTGGACGTTGAGTGGATGCTGGGTGGGCACTGGGTGGATGCTGGGTGGACGCTGGGTGGATGTAGCATGGGGGGTGGACGTAGCATGGGGGTGGACGCAGCGAGGCGGCGGTCGCGGTTGGGTGGGGCAGGGTGGGGGGAGATTGGCATCTCTCGACTTGTGGGTTGGGCGACAGTACACACTTGAGGGAATGGGGGGGGGAGGGAGAGGGGTTACACTAACACATTTATATAATTTTGTGGTATATCACTGCACAATATCATACACTTGTAAACTGGTTCACTGTGTACTCGATGCACTTAAAACACTATAGCTGCTTCCCGAGAGCCGAGGTATCTATTTTTCAGTGATATTTTCATAAACAATTACACACGGGTCACTCCCCCCCTCACATGACCGCACAACAACACCTTCCCCTCCCCCCTCCCCCCACTATAACTGAGGGACCCCCTCAGGGCATGCTTGTGTGGCCCTCACTGCAATTCAGATGATTCCACACTACCAGTTCTTTTGTTTTTGGTTGCGATGGTTCACCCTGGGCACTCCCCGCCACTCTCACACCTTCCCAGGATGTTCACACTGCACACTCTTGAGTTTGGGCACGGTGGGGTCAGGATGTCACTAGATGTTGGCAGAGTGGCCGGCAGAGTCTCCTTCCAGTGTCCGTTCCCTGTGGCATCCACGGGACATATAATTATTTTGGAAGAAGTGCGCAGTGGGGACAACTTGTGTCAGCTGTAACTTTCAGATTGAGGATAAAAGTTAAATTGTATGATTGGTTATAATCTTAAGTTTTGGCTAGCAGACATATTACACTGAGAAATTAATGTGTTTGGCCAATAATAGCAAAAAAATTTCTTGCATAAGCTTGTGATGTCTGCTGTACTTTGTGTGCAGTGGGGGCAACTTGGGTCAGCTGTAACTTTCAGATTGAGGATAAAAGTTAAATTGTATGATTGGTTATAATCTTTAGTTTATAATCTGTACACTGTGTGCAGTGGGGACAACTTGGGTCAGTTGTAACTTTCAGATTGAGGATAAAAGTTAAATTGTATGATTGGTTATAATCTTTAGTTTTGGCTAACAGACATATTACACTGAGAAATTAATGTGTTTGGCTAATAATAGCAAAAAAATTTCTTGCATAAGCTTGTGATGTCTGCTGTACTTTGTGCTACAAATTGCAGTTAATTCAAGTAATCTAAATTGTTATAAATTAATTTTAAATAATCTCCAACTTTTATACTTTTATTTTAGATCCTGGAATTGGAGTATTTTATGAAGCAGATTCAACTCACCTTGATATCTGCAAGCCATTAAATAGGTATGTTTTCTGTAATGTCTTTTCTGGGGGGAGCCAAGTCGGCTCCCTGGAGCTTTCCCAGGCTGATATGCTAATGTCAAACTTTGGCATCAGTCATGTGTATGGAGTTCTTAGGCCTACCGAGGACCACGGCCAAAACCGGGCACCCTCAGAGAGGCAAGGGGAGCAATGGCCTATAGAAACCCCCGTGTGGTTGGAAGTATTCTATGTCTGCCATCGACTGGAACAGGCAGCCAGAAAGGTAAGCGCCTCAAAACAAACCCCTATTCTGGTTAAAACTGCTACCAAAAGCCGAACTAGTGGATAGAACTCCCCAACAGAAAACAATCAATCTAGTGACGTCACACGTCGCCGCACCGCTGTCTGCGCAGCTCCCCCCCCCATCCCCGGGAGGGGGAAGGGGGAGCCCCAGACTCTCCACGCTGGCTACCTACACCTCAGTTCTTGATGCTGATGCTATAGGCAAAGGTCGTGTGCTCTGGCTCTAGTGTCGCTACAGCACTGTGTTTTGCGTGTAGTGTTTGTTTTTGTGGGTGCGAGAGCCGGGAGTTATCTACAGTACTCAGGCTGTATGCGCCTAGGGCTGCCTTCCCTAGGTTCCCTGTAAGTACTGCCTTAGGGGCCACCTTCCACAGGCTCCTCGGGATCTGCCTCTGCTGGTCCGTTTTACCTTTTAGGGCGCCTGTTGGGCTCTTGGGTGTTCTGTTCTCCCTTGTTACCTGCAGCTAAGAGGCAGTTTGCACTGGTAGGGGTGCAGGGTGGTGCACAGCTTTGTATTCTCGACATAGCGCCCAGCTCTGTTCCTTGGGGTTCGCTGTCCTCTTGCGGGGTTTTGTTTTTCTTTTCCTTTTTGCCTGGTGGGGGGATTCTGCCCTATTATTCCACTGGTGTTTGCCCTTCCACGGTTCTCCTCGGTGTCGCCCCCTGCTAGGTCCCCGTGAGTGTACACGTCCCTGGGGCACAGCTATAGAAGTTCGCTTGGTAGTTTTGGGCGCCGGTTAGCAGCGCCCTGCCTGAGACTACCTGAGCGCCAGTCCTCTTAAAGTAAACGCTCAGGACTCTGGGAATCTCCTAGGGGGCGTGCGAGTCTGATGGCTATGACCCCGGAGTCCCCGCTCGCTGTGTGCAAGTTTGAGGGTTGCTCGGTCCCCTTGTCTCGGGGTGACCCTCATTGTTTTTGCCTCTGCCACGCTGCCTGTTGGGTCGGTGATACTTTCGACCCTGAGTCCTGTGAGTGTTGCTGCTTGCTTGTGACTCAATTTACCCAATCCTCTGATGATTCTATTCGGGTACAGGCGGCGCGTGCATTGCAAGCTAGGCTTCGTCTGTTGCAATGCTCTAGGTTGGTTGCTCACCCGGATGCCCCGGGCTGCCTCGCTTTGCTTTTCGAGACCCGTACTTGGGGGTGGGGATCGCTTCGATCCTGGTTCAGTCCGCACCTCCTTGTCCTTCCCCTTCTGTTCATTCTGGTCTCCCCCCCGCCCCTGCTTCCGGCCCTGAAGCGTCTGAGGGTTTCGGAGTCGGAGCAGGGGTTACTTGATCTTGAGACTTGGGCAGCTTCGGGGGATGCCCCTTCCGGGGGGGTCTTCTGGGTCTGACCAGTAGGCCCCCTTTCTTCCGGCTTCTACAGCTGCTCCGTCCTTGCCTTGTGGGGTCGGGGCTTGGGGAGAGGACTCGGCTCCGGGTTCTGTTGTGAAAGACCTTGAGGCTGTGGAGGGGCTGACTTGGGAGCCTTGGGGCCCCATTGGACCCCGCCTGGGTTTTTCTTCCCTCTGAGCAGGGCTTGTTGTTACAAGGTGTGGGGTTTTCTTTCCCCCCCTCTGCATACGAGTTGGATTTGGTGTCGGCCCCTCCCCAGGTTTGGGAGGGGAGGGGGACCTTTGTGTTAGATCCTTATTGTGCCAAGCTTCACCAATATTATGACCTTTATGTTCTTCAAACAATAAGAATTTCACCGACAGAGCGTTATCTTTCAACACCATGTCGGACAGGTGTTTGGGAGCCAGAGGCGCATGTGCCACCCATGGTTGCTCACTCAGTACTAACCCAGCCAGCAGCCCTAGGGCATTCTGGGAATTTTTTCCAAGATGGCTGCCTCTCACTGGAGGTCCTAAGAGTCCATTTCGTACACAACCAACCTTGTACACATTTAGAATGGGTACCGAAAAATCAAAAAGTTTTATCGGTTGGCGCAGTTTCCCACCGACTGAGAATACTCGGTTGGCGAAGTTAAGTGGTTAAATTACAAAACTCAATCTTGAGACCTTCATTTTCTTGTTCTAATTTAATTACCTTTTCTTCATAATTCTTTAGCATGTTCTCCATAATCACTAACCTGCCAAGAAAACCACCATTCATTATATCTTGTGCTGAGAATCCTTCAAAAAATACATTTGTTGGTGTGCTGTCCTCTCCTGTGATGGCGTCCATCTTTGTTGTTGTTTTTCTGTTTTATATGAAGAACAACATTTCTAGCCCAGATTTTTCATTCACTTTTACTTATTTCTTGACTCTTAGTTTCTTTTCAAATTCTCTACACCTTCATGTATTATGGAACACCACTAACAAGCTTGTGTACTGCTGTACACAAGCTTGGTTATATGCCAAGCACAGGCACATGAGAGAAGGGTTAACATGCTTGCGTTGTTTGCAAGAACACTCAATGTAGGGAACAGAAGCGAAGATCCATCTGCACTTGGATTCCTGCTCCGGGAGTCTACGGCATGGGTGACCACCGAGCCTGGACATCATTGCGGCCTAAGTACATTTGTGAAATATTTTCAACATACATGTGATCAGGGACAGTTATTTTAACACTTTTGGAAGGAAAGATATTTTTTTGCAAAGAATTTATTTTATGCGCACAGCGGGAATGTCATAAAGGGTATTTTAAGCCAGCGCAGCACGGTGGTTAATATAATGGCCACCTTAAATTATCTCCAGGTGATTGAAGCATATGGGCCAATTGCTCTCAAGCAATTGGAGCAGTGTAAAGGTTAACACCTTTTAGTGTTGGGACATTGTTTTGAATATTACTTGTAACTAGACTAGTACTAGAATTGAGAGGGCACAGATTAAGGGATTACATCACAATCTTAAAGTAGAAAAGAAAGATGAGAGCTAATCAGTACATAAAAGAAACTGAGGGAAACACACAAGGGTGACAAGGTAATTATGAGGAGAAAGAGCCAAGCCAGTATGACTAGCACACAAGGTCAACAAGGATATGTGCCTTATGTGCTTTTGTTCTTGTATTGGCATCCTCAGCAATATTTAATGTCATTTGAAGATCCAGCAACACTGACGATGATGCATATTATTCCCTGCTTGGTGCTTTCTTTTGATTATTGGATAAATATGATTTTTTGCTGGGAGGATTCCACCATAGAAAAATTTTTGCTGTTTCTATTATATGCTTTTAATTTGTAATTCTTAATAATGACATTTAAATAAAACTTTCTTGTATTGCAGAAACTCTGACTCCTATCAGAAAGTTGCTTCCTTTCTGCAAGCTGCCCTTAGTAAGTTAAAGTAATGCTAGATTTAATTTTGCCAACTGCAAAGTAAATTCATGGTTGCCTTTGCTTTGTAAAAGGCCACTAAAAAAGTTGCATATTAATACAAGAAAATGTTGAGTTTTCATCTGGGTAATAAATATACTGTACAGTATATACATTTTATAAATATGTACAATGATTTGTTTAATTTTTTTATTCTATTATTTTGTACACAAAAATGTCCTAGAAATATAACGGTTCTGAAATAAAAACAAAAATTCCTTATCCTTAAGTTGCACTGGATGTGATATATAAACAAATTTAGTTGACTGATGAAATAGGGTGTTCTACAAAAATTTGTCAATGTAATACTTGGAATCTTCAAGTGCCTTCTTTAGCTTGCTTCCTACATGTGAATAATCAGCTTTTTTGCTTCTAAAATTGCATACAAGTAAAGGATTCTGACCTCTTGGAGCTGTCACTTTGCCACCTAAAACTTTACTCACACACGTCATCCATGCAGTTGCCGAGACACCACACGATAACATTCCCTGAAATATGATAAGTTTAAGAACATAGTGGAAACTCCAAATACAGAAAGAGAAATGAAAAGACACAGAACATAAGAGTAGCTGCTGCTGCTGTTCTCCTGAAGGAGTCAACACATCCATCAGGATGTTTCATCTAAACAGAAAGCTAAGTATGAAAGTTTCAGCCCAGTCTCTCTCTTTTTTTTATTTTCATGTTTTATGCCATTTCCCACTATCCCTTTCATGCATGCTAGTTACCTTCCTAACCTACAGCCCTTTGTGCCTAATTTGTGTATGTTTTCCTTGCAATTCATCATTCTTGTATGCTATTACATATTGACTTTATTCCAGCTTATTGCCACACATCAATTTTCTCAATGCAGTACTTCATTTTTACCTTATTTACAAGTGACTACAGTTTTTTTTACATGGCAGTTACAGATACAGACAACTTGACTCATGTTAGCAGGCTGAGAGCTATCCCTTCCATGATAAGCCTTACCCACACGTTTTCCCTGGAACACATTTTAACTAGGTACCCAATTACTGTTGGGTGAACAGAGACAAACAGTTCAGGATTGGTACCTAGTCAGGACTCAAACCTAGACAAAATCATTCGTGAGGTGCAGGGCAAGTGTATTACCACTGTGCCACTAGAAACCGTCTCTATGCTGCTGTCTAACATAGTTACCCAACAAATTTTAACACCCTACAATCATGTTTGTGATTAAAAACATCTGATAAACCTATAAACCTCGTAGATGAGTAATATATATATATAAAGTGAATCAACATATGAACATATAAGTAAATGATATACCTGTGTTTCTAATAATTCCTGGTCTTCATGATTACCCCTCCTGCATATCTTGAGGTTATCTTGAGATGATTTTGGGGCTTAGCGTCCCCGCGACCAGGTCCTTGACCAGGCCTCCTTTTTGTTACACACCCTCTAGGAAGCAGCCTATAGCAGCTGTCTAATTCACAGGTACTTATTTACTACTAGGTAACAGGGGCATCAGGGTGAAAGAAACATTTTGCCCATTTGTCTCCGCCTCCACCAAGGAGGCAGCCTAATGTCTGAATATACCTCAGCTAGTACTCTTTAACAGTCCACATATCTCAAATGATTTCATAAATATATATGTGTTGGTCAAACGAACGGAACAAATATTAATGTAAGGTGAAGTAAATAAAAATTTAAATCCTACCTCTGGTATAATGGACCGGCCCTTTATGATTCCTTCTGACTTTGCCAGTACAAGCATGGGTCGCTGCCTGACGAGCACTGTAGCTTTGCTTAATACAGCTTTACTTGTGCCAAAGTCTGTCTCTAAGAGATGAATGATGGGGCCATCTTTTTTCACACCAATGACTTCCAGCATCTCTTTCACCATCTAAAATATTAATTAAACAGATGCTATTACTAAGGTTTGTACGATGAATTTTATAACATTAATATGTTGTGAATATAATTTTTGTCCTTAACTCTCAAGCCTTGGTCTGACAATGGCTATGGTTGTGCTGTACTTATTAATACACTATATCACCCTCAATATACTGGTAATAGAAAATAACATTATTAAGATGCCTGCATTATATAATGATGAATTAAGTAAATACTTCCAATCACTATAAAATGCCATCATCACCATAACATTGATGCAGAATGTGTAAAAATGAAGCTCCTTATCAGTATGACCTGCCAGGGACAGTTTGGAAAGATCCTCTGCTGTGTTTATGAATACATATTACCGACTTGCCTAAGCATAAACCTGTTCTGAGGTCAGGAGGTTCTTTGCCTTAGGAAGCAATTCAGTGGTATAGCTCAAAGACCTAATAAACCATAGGAGATTTAAAAGTAAAATTAGCCAATGCAAATAGATCAAGAGAATGATTATTGAGGTAGACAAAATTTAACAATATTTGCAGTTAGTCAGAGGGTCAGCAGGATGGAAAGAAGAGGAATGATGACTATAAAATATCGGATAGTTACATTTTTAGTCCCTGACATGCACTTTCCAGGTCACTACCAATTGAATATACTGTACAAATAAGGATGGCAAAATAAAATTTATCAAAATTACACTAACCTCTTTATTTGCATCACCTCTCAGAGCATTCTTCAAAAGCCTTCTGTATTCATTTGTAAATTCCATAATTCTGACATGTGCAAGATATGGCAGCACCAGATCTTTATTATGGGTGCACCACATGCGAAGTTCTTTTTCAAGACTGGACAGTCTGAAATTATGATGCATTACAAATTATTAGTTATACGAGTCTTAATAACTGAAGATCAGTTAATGCTATTTTGGAAGGAGTCTCGCCACCAAGAAAGCCTTGCCCAGACTCCGAAACCTTAAGATTTTGGGGAGCAGGGGGAAGGGGGAGCAGGATGAACTACAGCAGGGGAAGGACAAGAGGGCACAGACGAAACAAAAGTCAAGATGACTAACGCCCCCAAGTACAGGTCCCTATAACCCAAGCGGAGCAGCCGCAGGGCATCCGGAAAGGCAACCAACCTAGCTCGTTGCAGCAACCGAAACCTCACATGCAAAGTGGAAGCTGCCTGCACCCAAACATCAATAACAGTGGACTGGGTAAACTGGAGTACAAGCAAGGAACACCACTTGCAGAACTCCAGGTCAAAGGTGTCATCGACCCAACAGGCAGCATGGCGCAGGCAAAAATGGTGAGTGTCATCCTGAGACAAGGGAACAGAGCAACCTTCAAACTCACACGAAGGGAGATAGAACTCGGAGGCTGCAGCCATCGGACTAAGGAGCCCTAATGGGGATTTCCATGGCCCTTAGGCTGACTGCTAAGGGAAGCCCAGGCAAGGTACTGCTAACCGGTTATCCCAGAACTACCAAACAAACAAACAAACAAAAGCAGAACCCCTGCAACGTGTGCAATCACGAGAACCTAGTGGAGGTTCACCAAAATAATACAAGTGGTCCTACAGCCACACCAGGCATACCCCCCACCAGGCAAAAAAAAAAAACAAAAGAAAAGAAACACCTCTCTAAAGCACAACGTCTGCAGGAGGAACAGAACCGGCTGTTATGCATAGTATAAAACAGCTACACAGTACTTTGCGCCCCTACCAGCAACGCTACTACCTCCTACCCAAGGCCAAACAGGTGTAGGAAAAAACCCTTAGCTGACCCCAAGGGCGGGCAATCACCGAGCAGCAAAAGAACCCTGCGGAGGTAGTCTCGAATAGTTTGTGAAAGGTAACCCCAAACTGCAAGGGCAGTATTTACCGGGCACCTAGGAAAGGTGACCCTAGGAACATGCAGCCTTAGTACTTCTGGAATAACACCTGGCTCACACACCACCACACCGCAGCACAACACCACAAGGCACAGCACTGCTCAAGGATTGGAGCCAGAGTCGATCGACCGCCACCCAACACAACAGCCTCAGATGACAGCATGGCGGCTGTGATGATGTAATGCTTGTGTGCTTGTTTTCTGATTGGGGAGTTCCGCCTGCTTATTTGGCTTTCAGTTTGCAATTTTTAACCAGCTGTAGTTTGTTTCGGGTTTCCTACCTTTCTGGGTGCCTGACCTGGTAGATGGCAGACATAGACTGCTTCCAACTAGACACATGGGGTGTCTATAGGCCATTGCTCCTTGTGCCTCTCTGAGGGGGCCAGGTTCTGGCTCATGGTCCCCGGTAGGCTAAGAACTCCATCGATTGACTGTTGCCACAGTCAAATATATACATCAGCCTGATATAGCTCCAGGGAGCCTAACTCCCTGGAGCTAACGCCTCCCCACAGAAAACTGATTTATCCAACCTGCAAAGACAGGGTGGATAACAAGAATCTTTCAAACTAGAGATGCTATTTCAGTGATGATACTTTTCAAGATGCCAGTGCTCTCTAGAGTGGAATACTGTTGCACAATGACAACTCCTTTCAAAGCTGGAGAAATTTCTGACCTGAAGACCATGCAGAGATCCTGTACTACTAGAATCCACTCGGGAAAACATCAAAACTATTGGGACCAACTAAAAGGCCTAAATCTGTATTCTTGAGTGCAGGCTATAGATATATTATATCTATATATAGATATATTATATCTATATATAGATATATTATATCTATATTATATTGAGATATATTATAATTTACACGTGGAAAATATTAGAGGGGCTGGTCCCAAACCTGCACAGAGAAATAACACCACATGAGACCAGAAGGAATGGCAGGATGTGCAGAATACCCCTGTTAAAAGCAGAGGTGCAATAGGTACCCTGAGAGAGAACTTTATCAACATTAGAGGCCCGAGACTGTTCAACATGTTTCCTCTACATATAAGGGGCATAACTGACAGACCCTCGCAGTGTTTAACCCTTTGGGCAGCTAGGGGTCGAAATGGGATTAACACCCACAGGCGCAACAAAAAAAAATAAAAAATTTTTCTTCTTTTTAATCTCTTTATTTGTGTTCGCTGAGCACGGGAAAAATAATAAAAAAAAATTAATTGCACTTACCGTTGACGTAAATGAGCCGAAAAGATCGGCGATGACGTCACGCCTGATCTTCGCTGGACCGCTGTGCGCCCGGGGTGAGTCAGGTGCAACGGAGAAGGAGCCCGAGTTGCCGCGAATTTATTTTCGCGTTATTATTTACAGTATCTATTGGCGTATTTTACACCCATTTTTTTCACTGGTGTGGTTCAATATGTTCTCACAAGATGACTTATAAACATAAAATTGTTGTCAATGTATATTGTATCCCCATATTAGTGTCACAAGTATTTGCACAAAAATGTCTTATTTCTCAATAAAATATGCAATTTCTTATGATTTATTTCCACTATATACACTCACTTATTCTGTATTTACATGTTTTGGCACCAGTCTTGGACATTTAGAAGTCATCAAGACTGTGATACTCGTTGAAACATCGGACATGGCACAGAGTGACCTGACACGCTATGCACCAAGTCATCACCATTTTTCTTTTCTGTTCCCTCTTGGTTGTTGACCAGCATACTACACATGCACGCTGGCCTACTGCACGCTTTCTAGTTGGTGGTAAAAACCTGAGATTGTGTGTCAAAAAGGCATCTCTGTAAGCAAGCCTAGGTGTTGGAGCATGGTGCAATACCGGGTTCAGAATGGGCCTCTGTACGCCAGGAATTACTTTGCCAAACTTCTGTAGTAATTGTGTTACTACAGTACAATTTAATGCACGGAAATTACGTTTACCACCTGTTTTGACAAGATACATATTGTAACTGTTCAGCATTGTTACATCAACAAGGTGGAAAAACATTTTCTTGGTCCACTTCACTGTTTTCCGTACACACTCTACTGTCCCCACCATCATATCACATTTATCCACCAAATGCATGTTGATGTTATAGTCCAAGACACAATCTGGCTTATAGATTAGTTCTCTGGTGGTTCTGTTCACCTTGCCACTGTCCAGCATTGTTCCAGCATGATTGGTGGTCAACATGTTCACTTCACACCTGTCTTTCCGCTGCACTGAAAGTATTCCACCTGTTTTACTGAGCTCGCAATCACCTACCTGCATAGCACCTGGAAACACTGGCATTTCCTTTCATTTTGCCTTCACTGTGCCACACACTCCAGTTCTATTATCAAGCAAGAACCTAGTTAGCAAGGGCCTGGTATAATAGTTATCTGTGTATAATATGTGGCCCTTGTTCAGATATGGTGCAAGCAGTGCCTTCACAACACTATCCGAGAAGCCATGTTGGTCATTAGCAGGAATGTCTACATTTGTACCCATATACATTATGTGTAACACCATTCCTGTTTCACAGTCACAGAGTACAAAGAATTCCAATCCAAATCGGTGGCGCTTGGAGGGAATATACTGCTTGAAGGCAAGACGTCCTTTGAAAAGCACAAGGGATTCGTCAATCACAAGCTTCTGAGCTGGTATGTAGAAATCTCTGTACTTTCCGATAAGTTCATTCAGGACGTGCCTTACCTTTCAAAGTCTATCATCATTATTCCGGTCTTCATCATTTGCAAAGTGAAGACACCTGAGGATTATCGCAAATCGGTCTCGAGACATATATTTGCCGAATATCGGTGTTGGAACAGTATGGGCTTTGCTCCAATAATGGTTGATTACGTGTTTGACACAATGTTTCATCAACATACACAATGCCAAAAACACATTCATTTCACCTACAGTCATATCTTTCCATAGCTGCAAACGTGAATAATTTGATAACTCCTCCTCATCAATGAGATCTGTTGCATATTTGTTCGTTTCATGAACAATATATTCCATTAGTGGCTCATCAAAATATGCAGTAAAATAGTCCATTTCACACATATCTGCACCTTTATCAGGGAAAATGTCTGTAATTCCAACATCCGAATTATCAAAAACAGGAATTTGTGGAACAAAATCTGTCCCATCATTCCACACAAAAACACCGGGTCTCTTTCGAAACCCAGTAGCGGCACCACGGCGAGGAAACCGTGAACCAGGAGCTGAAGCAAGTCTAGGAAGAGTAGGGGCGGGCAGGGACGGTGATGGAAAATTCCTCGATGTTGAGGGTCTTTGTTCATGTGGTGCCATGCGGTGCCGCATGGCTTGGCCAGATGCTGCTGACGCGACAAGTTGTCGCTTAGCAACACCACACACTCCACTTGCACTAGTGAAACTATTTTCCGATTCTAAGTCACTAAAACCGGAAAATGATTCACCTTCTTCAGAATCGTCGAGCAAAACATCAATATCTTGCAAGGGAGCACATGAACTGTGTGGTCTTGCAGAAATTGGGGTCGAGTGAGGGCGAAGAGGCATGGGCAAGATGCTAGGCCTAGCCCTGGTGGAGCCAGTATGTTCACACTCGTCGTCGGTCATATCCACCTCTGAGGGCTGTGTGTAATCATGATCAAAGTCTGAGTCGTCAATATCAGACTCATCACCATCCGGGAACAAATTTTTGTTAATTTCATCCTCGGTCAGAGGCCGCGAGGAACGCCTCGCTGAGCGGGGTCGGTCGTCAGAACTTGATGCACTCGCCATGGTGTCCGCCAGGTAACTGAGGCCTGTACACAAAGGGGACCCACACTGGATTTTTTTCCCAGGTGGGGTTTGTTTATGGTTGGTTGAGGCTCGCCTATGACTACCCCTATCCCACGCAGGGCGTTTAAATTATAGTGCTAGACACGAAATCATATATAAATGATGTGTGCGGTTTCGGTTTTGTCACTGATATCATATATATATGATATGCGCGGTTTAAGGGTTAAGAGAGAACTTGATAAACACCTCCAAAGGATACTCGATCAACCAGGCTGTTATTCATACGTCAGGCTGCAAGCAGCCGCATCCAACAGCCTGATTGACCAGTCCAGCAACGAGGAGGCCTGGTTGAGGACCGGGCCTGCAGGGACGTTGAGCTCCGAAATCATCGCAAGGCAAGGTAAGGTAACCTAACCTAACCATGGCACATTATCAGAGAAAGCAGCTTCAGGAAGACACAAGGGGCTTCACCAAGAGAAGTATTTGTTATCATTTACTAAATTATAAATCTACATTTAAAAAATAATAAACATTTGATAACATGCTAGTACTAATATTAATTAAAAGTTAATTCTCTACATAATATTAATTAAAAGATTGTGTCTAGAAATAAGTCAATTCACCAATGTTACTGTACCTCTCTTTGACACTAGCATTAATTTCCTTTTGGACTAGTATCTCCCATTCTTCTAACTGTTGAAGAGCTGTCATTGCATTTTCTTCTGCCAAAGTTGCTGCTTCACTGCAAACACAACGAAGGCGAGTATTTCCAAATCCTGCAGTATTCTGGTGGAATTAATATTATCAATATAAACGAAACTTAAGTGCTGAATGTAATGAAATGCTTTCTTCTGGTGGGCCCCTTGGTGGTTAGCTGTAGGTATTGGTGGTTAGCTGTAGGTATTGGTGGTTAGCTGTAGGTATTGGTGGTTAGCTGTAGGTATTGGTGGTTAGCTGTAGGTATTGGTGGTTAGCTGTAGGTATTGGTGGTTAGCTGTAGGTATTGGTGGTTAGCTGTAGGTATTGGTGGTTAGCTGTAGGTATTGGTGGTTAGCTGTAGGTAACCACCTGGATAGCTCTGTACTTTTGAAGTATAGGATAAAAAAAAACAGGCCCCTTGTAAATCATATAAAGCCTACTGGAGACCAGAGGCCAAAACCTGCCTCCTCACAGAGGCACAAGGAGTAGGGGAAAGTTAAATCACTCAGAGAGAATAAGTCCCTTGAAAAGTAGCATGAAACAGAACAGATAACAGCAAGGAAAATATGAATAATTCTGACAATTGGAAACAAGGAAGGTCATTATTCCGCTGGTTACACCCCATGACAGTCTCACCTGGGTCAACCAATCAGTCACAATCCAGCCAAAACCCAACTAATGCTCCTGAAATGGAATTGGGGGATGTGGATCAGGGGAGCTATCAATGGACTCGCCAGAAAGAGGCATTTTTATTACAGTACATTAACCCTTAAATGGCGCATAGCTATATACCATTTGACACCCACAGGCGCATACCAAAAAAAAAAAAAAAAAAAATATTTTTTCTTCCTAACCTGTTAATTTGTGTTCACTGATCACGAGAAAAATAATAAAAAAAATCGTAAGTGGCATATATTGCCCACTATAGGGCGGGGAATTCTGGCAAAAATCAGGCGCTGACTGAGCGTGCGTCCCAGGCGGTCTGTTGATCGCCAGCTGTCAGGCCAGAGTTTCCACAAAGAGATAATTACCTAATTATTTCAATGTCTCTGAATGATTTTTCGTAGTTTTTTTGCTCTAATATTATTCAATAGTGTGTAGTGTGATACAGTGTATATTTATATAATAAAATGAGTGAATCATCGCTGTACTCAAAAATATGGTGTGCATATTGTTGATTCAATTATGTTCATCAAACAGTGAACAAATACTTTGTCAGTTATTACACTATATACACAGGTTATATATAAGTATCTGCATGTTTTGTTCACCATGACGAACCACTAAGTTGGTATGCTGAGTGGCAGTGGCAGTGGCAGGCAGTGACTGGCTGCCACTGGCTGCCACTCCCTCCCTCACCTCACGTCACCTCACCTCACCTGACTTGCCACCATTCTCCACCCACTCCATTCTCCATACTGTTTTTGCTTTTATATACAGACGTTATATATAAGTATCTACATGTTTTGTTCACCATAACTGTACATCTAAGCTTGTATGGTGAGTAAAGAAGTAGCTACTCACACAGTCAGCTGATGGCTGCCCCCCTCAAGGCCAGACGCACTAATATTTCTCCTACAACAATACTGTGTGGTGTTATTACGCTATATACACACATTATATATAAATATCTACCTGTTTTATTCACTATACTTGTACAAGTAAACTGGTATGGTGCCCAAAGACCATCGTGGTCATCAGTAAACAACATGATAAGTCCTGCAGACGACACTCCTCCCTCACCAAAATGGCGGCTCCCAACCTCCTACTCTCGCTGTTATCTCACATTATACACACGTTATATATAAGTATCTACATTTGTGTTCACCATAGCGAACCACTAAGCTGGTATGGTGAGTGCAGTCAATAAAAGGTGGCCACACACACTCAAAAGACAACGCCACCATCCTCCCTCCCACAGCATTGCTCCTCCCTCCATGGCGCACAGCGCCACATATCACCACAATCCTGCTATTATCAGAACCCTGGTCAGTTTTATCACAGTCAGGGGTCTTCTGTAATATCATCATCGCTACATAATAGCATGAACAAGTATATTATGGCATTTTTAGGCGATGCTGTGGTCACAAGCTGAACAGCAGTGCTGTGAGTTCATGCTGCGTGCGTCAGGCTTGGTAGCTGACTCAATATTGAGGCCCCTAACACCCGGGAGTTTGGCCCACAATTTAAAAAAAAAATGGCGTCTGTTTACAAGAGCCCTGATGAAGGTGTGGTGAACCCCGTGTATCCGCGGGCCGCTAAATCTTGCGTAGTACTCCAAAGCATCACATGATGCGATGCGCAATTTACTGCAAGTCGGTCAAAGCATCATATGATGCAATGCGCAATTGAAGGGTTAAGCTGATATTCTTGGGAGGATTCTTAAGTGGTTCCCTGTTGCTATCTCACAATAAAGAAATAAGACAAACAGGATGCATCAGGGAAGAAGGAGAGCAGAAACCAGTAACCCCAAGAAAGTGGACACTAACAGCAGATAAATCTACCCAATGCCACACAAGCTCAGTGTATCTTTAACATATTATCATGCCACCAACACAGTGTTGGAATGCCAAAACCCCCTGAGCCTTAATATCAGACATAATATTAGAAAGAATGAGATACCTAGCTTGCAGATTCGAGGAGTGACCTGGGCCCTACACCAGCCAGTCGTCATGGTAAGCAGACCTCGGCACATAGTATGTACTGTATAAGCACGCAAGCCACCAGTGCGCCCCAACCAGCTAATGTTAACTCCCAACCTGGTCTAAGACGGCCAACAAGGCTCCTGACTTATCCAAGGTGAGGGCCACCCCCAAGCAGGATTGGCCTCTGAGAGAGTGAACTTCAGAAAGCACTTAGGCCAGGTCCACACTACAACAATGTACCACCCAAGGCCACATAGGGCAAAGTTAAAAAACTGGCACTTTGCTGAAAACTACAAGACCAGCCATGGCTTACTGATGATCTGGGAGCCCTACAGCAGACATGTTGACCACACTGCATCAGCCAAAGAGCTGATTGCTCTAGCCACTGGACAGTATGAGCCCCACCCAACCTTCCCAAACAAGGTGGGGGGGGGGGGAGATGGGGGGCAAACAGGCACATGCCTGTTTCAAGATATTTCACAGTTTGTTGATATTGTTGGATAAGTTCATTCAGCAGAATGTGAGGCTGTCTCTGCTTTGAACCCGGCAATGGTCTGTATTGGTTCACTGACTTCCTGGATGCCTTTCCCAGTGAGGTGGTGGAGTGTCTCCTGATCCCTGCCATTCTGTGAGAGGAGCCACTGAGGAAGCCCTCCCAGAAAAGTTATAACTGTACCAGCATATATAAATCATCTATGAAATTTGTTCTCTTGATGTGAAAAAAAAGCACCCAAGCGGGGTCACAGGGGGTCCAAGGCCCCCAGGCCGACTCCTCCCCAGCCCCAGGATCTCCTACGTCAGGACCCGGGGCAGAGCCGTCCTCCAAACCCTCTACCCCTGAAGAAAAGGTAGAGTCCAAGGGAAAGGCAGACAAGATGGGGGCCTGCTGGTGGGACCCAGAAGCCTCGGCAGGAGGAACCGGCTCAAATGCCTCCGTCCCCGACCCGGATGGGGCAGCCCCCGAAGCAGCCCGAGTCTCTCCACCAACTAAATCCTGTGCCGATGCCGAAAACCGCATACGTTTCGGAGCCGGACACAGGGGGGAGGTGCAGGAAGAACCACAGGGGAAGGACCAGAGGGCGTGGCAGGAGTCAAAGCCATAGCAACCAACGCCCCCAGGTCAGGGTCCCTAAAGCCAAAACGGGGCAGCCTCGGGGCATCCAGGCGGGAAACCGACCTAGCGCGTTGCAATAACCTAAATCTAACATGCAACGCTGATGCTGCCTGTACTCTAATAGGAACATCCTCAGAGTAAAACCGGAGCACAAGCAGAGAACAGGACTCGCAAGACTCCGGGTCAAAGGTGTCATTGACCCAACATGACGGAGGCAAAACAGGTGACTGTCACCCTGAGACAAGGGCACACTGCAACCTTCAAACCCGCACAAGGCAGGCTGGAACTCGGGAGACGCATCCATGGGTCCCCGAGCCCCGACAGGGGTTTCCAGGGCCCGTAGGGTAGCAACTACGGGAAGCCCGGGCAAGGTGTTGCTAACCGGTTAAGAAACTCAAACAAAACACGGGTAAATGATAATACTGAAAACCCTTGGGACGTGTACAAGCACGGGGGCCTAGCAGAGGGCCACCAAAACAATACCAGGGGAACTATGGGCCCACGAGGCAGCACCTCCACCAGGCAACCAAAAACAAAACAAAAGAAAAACCACGCAAAAGTACACCGTCCCCAGAGCAACAGGAACCGGTCACCGCTTAGGTGGCAGGCCGCGCAACACCTTGACGCCCTAACCAGCACAATACCACTCCCTACCCAAGGCCAAACAAGGGCCCCAAGCCCCAGCTGGCCCCAAGGGCGAGGCAAATGCCGAGCAGCAAAAACCTCTACGGGAGCGGTTCCCAAACGCCCCAGAGAAGATAACCCTGACATGCAAGGGCAGTACTCACAGGGCGCCTAGGGAAGGAAGCCCTAGGCGCATGCAGCCCCGGCACTGATGAAGTACTCCTGGCCACCACACACCACAACAACAGCAGAGAACGCCACACGAGGCAAACACCGCCAAGGAATTTGAGGCCAGAGAAGCGTCTATCCCGGTTGACACTAGCTTGCGAACTGACGGCAGCCGGCGTGGTGAGGTCCGGGGCCACCCCCCTCCCTATCCCGGGGAGGGAAGGGCTGCGCGGACGACCGGCGCGGCAGTAAATTGATTGTTTGATTGTTTTCCTTGAGATTGTAGGGAGTTTTCTACCTCTCTGTTCGGTTTTTGTTGTTGTTTTTTACCATGTGGGGTTTGTTTTGTTACGCCTACCTTTCTGGGTGCCTAACCCCGGTCGATGGCAGATAAGGAAAACCCCCAACCATATGGGGTTTTCCAGGGCCATTGCTCCCTGAAACCTCTCTGAAGGGGCCAGGTTCTGGCGCTGGTCCCTGGTAGGTCTGAACTCCATAGCTAATGTCCCGGTCTAACATAACATACATTAGCCCGATAAGCTCCAGGGAGCCATAGGGACTCCCCACAGAAAAGTGTTTTTTCATCTTGTTGACATAAGCATGCTTAACTGATACAATATATATCTGGTGAAAATTGGACGTAAACCAAGTTTCCGTTCGTTTGCTTTTACACTTGCGACACAGTTTGGCAAAGATGTTCCTGGCATACGAAGACCCATCATGAACTCAGTGTTAGGTTGCAGCATGCTGCTACACCCAGGCTCACTTACATGGAGACCTTTAAAGCACACAGACTAAAACATTTGCCACCAGCTGGAAAGCGTGCAATAGGCCAACGTGATTGCTTAGTTTGTAAAACAACAAAAAGGAGAAATCAGAAACGTAAACTTGTGCAAACATGGTGAGAAGCATGTGCAGTCCCTTTGTGTGCTTTCGACTGCTTCAATGACTACCACTCTCTCCAAGACTTCTAAATGTGCAATAATTGTGTAAAAACCTGTAAATAGTGTGTAAATATAATAATGAACAATGTGAATACAATACGTTTTCATTTGGGGGAGTTCTGTCCACTCGTTTGGCTCTTTTTAGCAATATTTTCACCAGAATAGGGGTTTGTTTTGGGGCACTTAGCTTTCTGAGTGCCTGACCCGGTCGATAGCAGACATAGAATGCCTCCAACTACATGGGGGTTTCTATAGGCCATTGCTCCTTGTGCCTCTCTGAGGGGGCCAGGTTCTGGCTTGTAGTCCCCAGTAGTCCTAGAATTCCATGCACATTGACTGATGCCAGAAATCTATTATATCCATATCAGCCTAGATAGCTCCAGGGAGCCAGTCGAGCTCCCCTTAGAAATTTTAAGAAGTTAAACTAGAGCTTAGCTACGTACAACATTTACAATGACAAAATTGCCAATATCTCCAGTATTGTGAAGATGAGTCCCACAGCAAGGCTCAATTGATGATAAGATAAATTTGTCATCAGCTAATTTTGTTGCTATGATGTGCACAATGTCAGGATACACTTCACCAGGCAGAAGACAGATACTGGGTTCTTGCAACATCTCATTAATCTTTACAGTTCTTCTATTAATGGGACTCTTCGTATCAATCCACCTCTGAAACAAAAGGAATAGTGTACTCTCAATAATCAAAATTACTGTAATTAGGACTGAGATCATTGTACAGATTACATGACAAATTAAATTTGTTTTTGGACATGGCCCCCTTGGCTTTCCCTGGTCAGGGTCATAAGTTCACCCAGGTCACTGCTAACATGTCAGGCTCTGGTAGACTTTGAACCCCCCACCAGAACAAGCAACTTTTCAAATGGTCTTGCCCATAGCCAAGGGACAGAGACAGTGGAGAGCATACCTCAATCCTCTTACCATGAGTAATTGCTTGCTATACCAAAGAACAAATCCCACCACTAAACACTCACTCCAAGTGATCACTGGGAAGAGCAACAACTAACCTTGACAAGGTTTTCAATTTTGTGGATGATGGTATGGTCCAGAGCTTGATATGTCCGAACTTGCAGATAACAATAGTCTGAAGCTACATGCGAAGATTTCTGGAATGCTAAACCTGAAGCATAACATTTTTATTAGTCAAATATTTTGTTAATTTTCAATGCATTGAATTTTCAAGTATATTAAACAAAATTTATGTCAATACAATTCCAGAATATCACATAAAAATGTTTTATGGGTGTGTTTTTGTATTTTGTATTTCATATATTTATATAATTAAAGGATTTTCAACAGTAAATTGCCACCTTGTGAGGGTTAACTAATTCTCAGAGTTCATAATAATTGATTAGCAAGTAGAAATTTCTTAAACATTTATATTTTTCCCACTAATTTCTTACCAAGTCAATAAAAATCAAGCATTGACTGTAATGAAATGTACTTTACTGGTGGGTCTTTCAGAAGCTCCCTGAGCTTAAGTGCTGATACTGCCAAGCCTTAGGCAGCCACACCAGGCCTCTGAGACCCACCCTGACTTAATGGCCACCACAGCCAGAGTCTGGCTCAAACTATGAAGTGAGGGGAGCCTGAGAATCAGGGATCTACCTAAATCCCAGAAACACTTGGCACAACAAAACAAAAAGATCTCTGAAGGAAAACAGTAACCTTGTGGTATGCAGCAGTCATTGGTTCCTATATCTCAAGAGGCACATTAGGAAACTAGAAAGGGTACAGAAATATGCTATTAAATGGCTTCCATAACTGAAAAACGAGCTACAAGCAGAGACTGACGGTGATATGATCACTACATATTACTACTCAGGCTACGAGCAGCCGCATCTAATAGCCTGGTTGACCAGTCCAGCAACCAGGAGGCCTGGTCAAGGACCGGGCCACGGGGACACTGAGCCCCGAAATCATCACAAGCTAAGGTACATACTAAATGGTGACTGGGATCAGCACAATTCATAAGGAGGAGTTTTTGAAACCTTCAGCTTCAAGAACAAGAGACCATAGATTCAAACTAAAGCAACAAAGGAGCTGACAAAAATATACAAAAGTTTTCTTTAGCAAACAGAGTTTGCAAACAATTTAAGTGAGGTGGTAAATGTGGTGGGTTACCAAATAAAATATAAACTTACCTGTTGCTGCTTTAACTGCACTGTTAAGAAGATGTGTTGCTGTATGGTGTTGCATAAGTCTCATTCTTCTTGTTTCACAAACTTTGGCTGTAACTTCATCCCCAACAGATATTTCACCTATATCCATGGTACCCCAATGGACAATGTAGCCACCAACGTTATCGACACTTGTAATGCTCATTTCTGAATTACTTGTACATAATCTTCCAGTATCACCCTCTTGACCACCAGCTTCATGATAAAAATTGGTTGCTTCAAGAATAACACCAATTCTTCCTTCAACTGTTTTTTCCACTTGCTTTCCATCTTGTAATATTAACAAAACTTTTGTTTTTATTGGTGTAAACTCATAATGGCTATCAAATCTTTTATATAGATATTTGGAACTATCGTCAGTTACAGGAAGATTCAGTCCAATAATACAGCTCTGCAGGTCTTTTTTAAATGTTTCATCACTTTCTAATTTTTGTTGGCCTACTGTTCTTGTTCTTTGTCTAGCCTCATTAAGGGCTAAGTTAAATCCTTCCTGATCAACTGTCAAACCATATATTTCAGCAAGCTCTTCTATTAAATCTATATGAAGTCCATGTGTATCATACAGTTGAAATGCAAAGTGTCCAGGTAGTCGGGAGTCACACTTCTTCCATTCTTCTACATTGCAGGTAATTGCTCGTACACCATCAATCATACCTGGAGTTTGCCAGTCAGAAATAATGTTCAATTCTGGTCTTTGCAATAATAAATCTTTCCATTCTCTGTAAAAAAAAAAATATAATGAGAAAATGTTTTACTTATATATTTCCCATAATCTTATTACTGTACAGTACTTATTAACCAAAATGTACATGCATTACAAGTCTACCTACAGAACTACTGTACTTATAGTTGTATGTACCTACCTTGTACTTTACTATGCACTATATATTTGTATGTAAGTACATACCTTGCTTCCAACCCAAATTATTCAGGGACATAAAACTGACCTTCAACAACTAAAATACTGGACTAGACTGCACACTTCATTGCTATCCACCAGTCATAAGACTCTGCACAACAAGTTACGAAAAAAACTAAAGTTCATAGACTCCCAGTTTTATGCTAAGTTATATAATGCAAGATTCTTCAAGGTACAAATTTAGATCGTTAACCCTTCTACTGTGCGAGTCATACAGAGATGCTTTAGGCATATCTGACCACACTGTGTGAGTCATACAGGGATGATTTAGAGTATTGCATAAAATTTAAAAGTCCCATGGGTACATGAATATTCTCAGGCCTGCAGTAAACAGATACCATTTTGAAAAAAACAGCGTTGAATGTAATGAAACGCCATTTTCTGGGTGAGCCCTGGAGGCTACCTGGAGCTTATCGGGCTAATGTATGTTATATTAGACCGGGACATTAGCTAAGGAGTTCAGACCTACCAGGGACCAGCGCCAGAACCTGGCCCCTTCAGAGAGGTTTCAGGGAGCAATGGCCCTGGAAAACCCCTTTGTGGTTGGGGTTTTCCTTATCTGCCATTGACTGGGGTTTGCACCCAGAAAGGTAGGCATAACAAAACAAACCCCACATGGTAAAAAACCAGCGTTGAATGTAATGAAACGCCATTTTCTGGGCGAGTTCCGGAGGCTCCCCGGAGCTATCCATGGCTGATATGGATACCCTAACTATTTTGCATCAGTCGATGTGGGTGGAGTTCATGACAGAGGCAAAAAATGAGCGTTGCCCAGAGACAAGGGATAGAGCAACCCTCAAACTCGCACAAGGTGAGAGGGGACCCAGAGGTCGCATCTATTGGACCCTGTGCGCCCACGCGAGGTTTCCCAGGGCCCCTAGACTGGTATAACTAAAGGTAAGCCCAGGCAGGGTACTGCTAACCAGCGCCCAAGTCTACCAAACAAACCTCTAAAACTGAACCTCCGGGACGTGTCCACTCATGAGGGCCAAGGAGGGGGTACCACCGAACACCAGAGGTCAAGACCCTAATATAAGCGGGGACAAGGAACACAAGGCAGATCCCCCACTAGGCAGAAACAAAAAGAAAAAGAAAAACCCTGCAAGAGGACAACATACCCAGGAGGATCAGAGCCGGCTGCTGTAATAGGTGAAAACTAGCTGTGCAGTATCCTGCACCCTATCAGTGCAAAAACTACCACTTACCCAAAGGAAAACAAGGAAAGAAACCTCCCCCCACCCCAACACACTCGGAGTGGTCAATCACCGAGCAGCAAAAGACCAACAAAGGCATACCCCAAGGCGACTTGTGAAAGATAACCTCAAGCCCCAAGGGCGGTACTTACAAGGCACTCAGGGAAGGGAACCCTAAGCACATGCAGCTCAAGTACCTGTGAATATTACTCTTAGCTCGCGTGCCACTGTAAAAGCAGTACTGAACACAAGGCACAGCACAACACAGGGAGAATCTAGTGCTGGAGGCACACGACCATGCCACAATCACATCAGCCATGAACTGGAGGGTGGATCGCCTTCTTGGTGGGCCTGGGGCTCCCCCTTTCTCCTCCAGCTGCTCAGACATGCAGCGCAGCTCGTGTGAAATAATGCTTGATTGCTCGTTTTCAAATGGGGAGTTCTGTCTACTTGTTTGTCTATTTTAGTCGTTTTAACCAAAATAGGGGTTTGTTTTGAGGCACTTACAATTCTGGGTGCCTGGCTCAGTCGATGGCAGACATACAATGCTCCAAATCCCGTGTGCACTTTTATAGGCCATTGCTCCTCGTGCCTCTCTGAGGCACGGGAACCACGTGCCAGGTTTTGGCTCGAGGTCCCCGGTAGGCCTAGAACTCCATTCATACTGATGCCAAAGTCTAATAATATACATATCAGCCTGGATGACTCCAGGGAGCCGAAGGGGCTCCACCCAGAAAAAAAGGACTACTCTCAAAACAGCATTTGTTGTTTGGCACAGTGCAGTGGTTAATAAGAAATACATTCAAATATATAAATGTGTATTTTGCCACAAATTTTTTACTATGTTATACATAAAAAAAAATTTACTTACCTACTACAATTTTCTTGCATTTCATAGAAATACTTTTCTTCATGTTCAAGGATAATGTGCACTCTTTCCAACTGGTCACACACTTCTGGATATGTTTCTCCAAGAGTTGCAGCCACAATTTGAGTCAGTTCTACTAGATTATGATTCCCATGGGTGAAACCAAAATTATTGCTGCCAATATTTATGGCTCTTCTTATGATGTATCGTAATTTATCACTGAAAATTGAGATTACAATATTAATTACAGAATGTGGAATGCTATACTTAAATGACTAACAAAGTTGGCTGTTAGTACAGCAGGGTTTGTTCATTCTAAGTACTCTACTACACTTAACCCTTCAACTGTACAACACAGCCAACAGATTTCTCATGAATTATTCGTAAGCAGCACAACATGGTTGGAGATGCTTTAAAGTACTGCATCAGATTTAAAACTTCCACAGGTCTCACATTTACTTCCTCAGGGCTCAAATAAATAGATGTCATCTAAAAAAAAACAGCATTGAATGTAATGAAACTCCATTTTCTGGGTGAGCCCCAGAGGCTCCCTGGAGCTTATCGGGCTAATGTATGTTATATTAGACCGGGACATTAGCTAAGGAGTTCAGACCCACCAGGGACCAGCGCCAGAACTTGGCCCCTTCAGAGAAATTTCAGGGAGCAATGGCCCTGGAAAACCCCCTTGTGGTTGGGGTTTTCCTTATCTGCCATCGACCGGGGTTAGGCACCCAGAAAGGTAGGCATAAGAAAACATACCCCACATGGTAAAAAACTAAAACAAAAAACCGGGGGTTGCCCCGTCCATTCAGACTCGAATGGACGGGGCAACCCCCGAAACTGCCCAAGTCTCAGAACCACTAACCGCGCTTCGACCCCGAAGCCTGCAGATGCGTAGGGGCCGGAAGCAGGAGGGGGAAAAACAAGGGGGGGCGTGGAAGAACCAAGGCCGAAGCGAACAAAACCCCCAAGTCTGGGTCCCTACACAAGCGGGGCAGCATCGGGGCGTCCGGGGAAGCGACAAACCTGAGCGCGTTGCAACATCCTACCCTGCAATGCGCGAGCTGCCTGCACCCACGGGAATTCATCAGCAGACTGGGTGACGAACAAGCAACAAAGCTCGCAGGACTCAGGGTTGAATGTGTCACCGACCCAACAGGCAGCATGACAGAGGCAAAAACAAGGAGAGTCACCCTGAGACAAAGGGACAGAGCAACCCTCAACTCGCCCAAAGCGAGAAGGGACGCAAGGGTCTCCACTGTCGGACCCGAGAGCCCCCAGGGGGTTTCCCAGGGCCCCTAGACAGGGTCTGCTAAGGGTTATCCCAGGCAGGGCACTGCTAACCGGTGCCCCAAACTACCAAGCAAACTGCTAAAGCTGAACCCACGGGACGTGTCCACTCGCGAGGGCGAAGCAAGGGGTGCTACCACACAGACGAACCTAATATAAGGGGGGGGGAGAGAACATAAGGCAGACCCCTACCAGGCAAAAACAAATATGTACAAAAGAAAAACCACACAAGTGGACAACGTACCCAGAGGGAACAGAGCCGGCCGCTGTCATAGGTGAAAACTAGCTACGCAGTACCCTGCGCCCCATCAGTGCTATAACTACCACTTACCCCAAGGTAAACAAGGGAGTAAAACCCCCAAACCCTCGGGGCGGCCAAACGCCAAGCAGCAAAAAGCCAACAGAGGTAGACCCAAGGCGACTTGTGGAAGGCAACCCCAAGCCCCAAGGGTGGTACTTACAGGGCACTCAGGGAAGGTGACCCTAAGCACATGCAGCCCGAGTACCTGAGAATACTACTACCAGCTCACATGACCACCGTAAGAGCAGCACTGCAAACAAGTCACAGCACTGAGACAAGTCCGGAGCTGGAGCCACACAACCGTGCATTATCCCATCAGCCGAGGAACTGGGGCGGGGATCGCCGGCGCGGGGGTCTGGGGCTCCCCCTTCCCCCTCCCGGGGAGGGAGGAGCTGCACGGACATGCGGTGCGGCTCGTGTGACGTCATGCTTGTTAGTTCGTTTTCCTGGGGGAGTTCTGTCCACTCGTTTGTCGATTTTTGTTGTTAACCAGAATGGGGGTTTGTTTTGTGGCGCTTACCTTTCTGGGTGCCTATCCCGGTCGATGGCAGATATAGAATGCTCCAAATCACATGTGCATTTCTATGGGCCATTGCTCCCTGTGCCTCTCTGACGGGGCCAGGTTCTGGCTCGTGGTCCCCGGTAGGCCTAGAACTCCACCCACATCGACTGATGCAAAATAGTTAGGGTATTCATATCAGCCATGGATAGCTCCAGGGAGCCGTAGGGGCTCCCCCCAGAAAAGAAAACCCCGCAAGAGGACAGCGTACCCAGGCAAAACAAAGTCGGCTGCCATATAGGTGAAAACAGGCTGTGCAGCACCCTGCACCCCACCAGTGCAAAACTGCCCCTAACCCTAAGGCGAACAAGGGAGACAGAACACCCGAGCAGGGGCAGAACTCAAGGAACTTGTGGAAGGTGGCCCCAAGCCCCAAGGGCAGCACTTATAGGGCACCTAGGGAAGGTAACCCTAGGTGCATGCAGCCCGAGTACTGGAGACTCACTCCTGGCTCACACACCACCTAGAAGACAGACACTACACTCTAGGTACAGTGCTGAAACAACTAATGGAGCTGGAGCACACAACCGGTGCCTATAGCATCAGCCTCAGAACTGATGGATGGATAGCCGGCGTGAGAGGTCTGGGGCTCCCCCTTCCCCCTCCCAGGGAGGGAGGAGCTGCGCAGACAGAGGCGCAGTGACGTGTGATGTCATACTAGTTTGCTTGTTTTCTGTTGGGGAGTTCTATCCACTAGTTCGGCTTTTGGTAGCAATTTTAACCAGAATAGGGGTTTGTTTTGGAATGCTTACCTTTCTGGATGCTTGACCCGGTCGATGGCAGACGTAGAATGCTTCCAACCACACGGGGGTTTCTATAGGCCATTGCTCCCCTTGCCTCTCTGAGGGGACCAGGTTCTGGCCGTGGTCCCCGGTAGGCCCTAGAACTCCATACACATGACTGATGCCAAAGTCTGACATTAGCATATCAGCCTGGTTTAGCTCCGGGGAGCCGTTGGGGCTCCCCCCCCCTCCCAAAAAAAACCAGCGTTGAATGTAATGAAACGCCATTTTCTGGGTGAGCCCCGGAGGCTCCCTGGAGCTTATCGGGCTAATGTGTGTTATGTTAGACCGGGACATTAGCTAAGGAGTTCAGACCTACCAGGGACCAGCGCCAGAACCTGGCCCCTTCAGAGAGGTTTCAGGGAGCAATGGCCCTGGAAAACCCCATATGGTTGGGGGTTTTCCTTATCTGCCATCGACCGGGGTTAGGCACCCAGAAAGGTAGGCGTAACAAAACAAACCCCACATGGTAAGAAACTACAACAAAAACCGAACAGAGAGGTAGAAAACTCCCTACAATCCCAAGGAAACAAGCAAACAAGCAAACATCACACTTTACTGCCGCGCCGATCGTCCGCGCAGCCCTCCCCACCCCGGGAGGGGGAGGGGGGAGCCCCGGACCTACCGCGCCGGCTGCCAAGCTCCAGTTCGGAAGCTAAGCTTCAACCAACGCGAAAAAACCGCCGACCGGTGGGAGGGAGGGTTTCCAGGGAGCCTCCGGGGCTCACCCAGAAAATGGCGTTTCATTACATTCAACGCTGGTTTTCTGTGGGGAGCCCCTACGGCTCCCTGGAGCTTCATACCCAAAGAGAAGGAAAAGAAAGGGCTAACCCGGGAGGCGGCCGCCACAAACTCTGCAACGCAAAGCCAAGACAACCGGTCGCAAACCTGCGACCCAAGGCAACAAGAACGCCCAAGAACAGACGCACATATGGATGGGCGGCCAAAAACCTGTGCGACCCACAATTCCCTGCGCCCGAAATGAGCCCGAGACGTCACCAACACAGCAGCAATTGCTGCAAACGTCTGAACAGCACGGGCGCAAAGACAGACCGCAGTAAGAAGGAAAACACTGCGGACGACCCGGGAGACCCGAGCCCTGAAAACAGGGAACGAAGGAACCGGATCAACCACAGCGCATCCCCAGGCACGGTACGCCGGCAACAGCAAAAAGCACAACTGGACAACACAGGACGCACCCCCCGGCCAAACCAAACAAGTACCAATACCCCAAGAACCCCTCCGGAAAGCAGCCGTCTCGACCGTCGCCAGGACAGAGAAAGGCTGCACACCAATAAAGCTACCACCAGTACCAAAGAGGAGGAAACTGAAACCGAAGGGGCTACCACAAACTGAGGGGAAGAGAAGAAGGCACCCTGAACAAGGACCAGGATGGCTCAGGCGACTCATGAGCAGGCCGGAGGGGAAACAAAACGCGAGAAGACGTAATAAACGTCATACAGTCTCCAAGACGAAGCTCGCAGGTGGGACACCGTCAACAAAGCCACCTGAACACCATAGAGATGGCGATACCTGCGTCAAAATACCAGACGCGAAGAGCCAAAGAGAAGGCCGAACCAGTCACGGACAGGACCGATTCGGCCTGCTGAAAGAGGCGAAGCCTCAGGAAAAACGCCCCGGGTACGGACACCTATCAAGCAGCGTCTGAAAAGAAGGCCGGGCCGGCCACAGTGGAACCATAAGGACTGTTCTCGTGGGAATGGGCTGCAACTGAGCCAGAACCCGAAGCAACAGCTGGACCGGGAGAAGAGGTACAGGTACCCCCCACCTCGACCAGGCCTGCCGAAAGCCTCCACCGTGAAGTCCTCGCAGGTGGGAAGGGCGCCACAAAACGGGCGACGCCTAGACCACGCCGACCCGAAGACGTCCATGGCCAGGAGTCCATAAGCCCAACAGAGCCAACAAAACGAATCGGCGACGACTGGCCAACCCACGAAGAGGAATGAACCGAGACAGCTGTCCACCAGGACGCAGGACACACCCCGGACACGAACCACACGGTTAACCAAACCCCCTGTGGTTCCGGCAAGAACCACCAGAGAACAGTCCAAACAGAGCTGAATGGTAGAGTACCTAGTGACCCAAACCCTCCGAAGCGCAAACCAGACAGCCATGAACACCTGAACCGGGCTGTGAGCCCGACGGACAGACAGACTCCATCAACCTCGGCCGACCTGGTGAGCACTGGTCACAAAGCCCCAGCCGAGAGACGACCCGTCCGTGAACACATCGAGCGAAGGCTCGGGGAGCCGCCAAGGCACGGAAC